GGCATAACGTTACCGGTCAAAGCCACTGCATACGACGCAACTGTAACACCCTATCCAAGGGACTTATAGGACAGCTTTATGGGAATAGGAGCTGAGCCCAATTCACTACAAATATCAATAGCCGCAAGAAGAGATTGGAATATCGCCGCCAGGTCCCATTTTTGATCCGACCATAGATCCCCAAGAGATGGGCCCACGGCCAGAGAATCGCTGTCGTGCCGTTCCCAAGAAGTTGAAGAGGTTTTGTGCGCAAGGCTGAGCGCTCCAGAAGCTCAAGATATGGATGTACCTTGCTTTCTCACGGCGACATATGCCGCATCTGCGCGGCAACCAAGGCCCCAAGCTTAGTCTCTCTATGGTGGTTTCCAGCTTGGTGCGCCTCGAAGAAGGCGCTCGGTGGCTGGCGTCATCATTGACGAGTCCGACATTGTCCGCACGCTTGCCCGGCCCCGACGAGCGACAGGATCAGCTGGCGCACGCGATGGTGGCCATCGGGCGTGCGACGCCACCGTAGCTTCGATTACCTTTAGCCAAGACGCGGACACCCATCGCATCTACACTTCGACAGCGAGCATCGCACACGCAACCGCACTGCGGTCACTCGGTCGCTATACCAGCATACATGAGCAGCAGCCCAAGAGCGCGCTCAGGATTCTACCTACTCATACCAAGAGCACTGGCGATTTACCAACACGCAGTATCTAGCGCCCCTGTCATTTGCGTCCCTGGCGCTCGTGGGTGAGTGCGATACGGTCCGTTTTCCCTACCCGTCTCGGCACCCAATGCTCGGCACCTTTGTTTTTGCTCAACTGGCGCGCCAACTTCACTTCGCTCTGTGTCTGTCTACATCTATGTCTACATCTACACGTTCGGCTCCGGGACCTCTGTGTAGCACGACGAGGGTGCACTTGCCTTGGGCATTGACCTGCTCGACTACGCCGACAAGTTTTCCCAACAATGCGACGTCATCAGTACCGCAGCTCACATGACGTTCACTGTTTTTGTTTTCTTTTTACCCCTCGCGACGGCAGCCTTCGACGTCGCTGGCGCCGTCGCAGCCGTTACAAGCTTTCTGGGCGCAGACTCGCGACCCAAGTCACGGCCAGCACGGCAAGCCACCTGGCGATGGCAATACGACAGGCCATCGAAGGTCGCAGTCAAGGATCGAAGGTCGCAGTCAAGGCGGCAGTCAAAGCCACGCCGACCAAGCACACTCATCAATTCCGCCAGACGCTCGAACTGCGCCTCTTTTGATGACGGCGAGTCCCTATACAAGCCCGCGCAAATTGTCGAAGCTCGGGTGCCAGAGCTCAGTAATGTACAAACGGTGCACCGGTGTTGACGGGTGGCTGCGCATTCACACGGTCGCGATGGCTCTCACCAACACCGCCCGGCGGCGCGCTGGGCGGCTTTGAGGGCGGACTTGGAGCTGTGAAGCTGCCAAGGTGGGTACTCGTGCGTCCCACCTTAGACAAATCAAGCATCTATATCCTCTCGGTTCGACAACAGCGCCGGCACCAGCGACTCTGTCGTCTCGGCGTAATCAACCAACCGAAACTGGCCCTGTGGGCACTTATTGGCGAGGCCAAGCTACTCGCCATTCGGACTGTCAAGGCATCTTCGAACACGACCGGGGCACGCGGTGACTTGAATTTACGTCTTCGGGCGCGACCGAGTTATTCGCCACTCGGACTGGGCGTATTCGGACGCAATCGGGGCACGCGGTGACTCGTGTTTACGTCTTCTGGCGCAGCCGAGTTATTCGCCACTCGGACTGTCAAGGCGTCTTCGGACGTGATTGAGGCAAACGCTTCTTGGTTTGCGTGCATCTTCACACGAGTGGAGAGTGGTACGATGACATGCTGTCAAGCATGATTGTCAAGATCCGACTGGATGGTTCTGATGCCAACGTCAATGGGAAGGGACAACACCGCACCTCCTGCGTGTGAAGCAGGACTGAAGCAGGAATCAACCGACTGGATAAAGGACTGTCGACTAGGTGCCATCTGCATCTTGACAACGGTGATATCCGGGTCGAGGATAGTGTGCCGCCCGAGTTTAGGTGTACACGATGGTTGACATTTCGTGGTTGATTTAGTCGAGACTCGACTAAACCAACCACGAGGCGCGTCTACCTCTGGAGTTAAAGCAAGACCGGCGCGCTCAGCGTTTTGGTGAACGCCTCAAGCGTTCTTCGCTGGCGAAGGCAGTGTCGAGCTGCGAGTCTCAGTTTGGCAGCTGGCAGCTGGCAGCGGCAGCGGCAGCGGAAGCGCGGTTGCACCCCAATCTTTGTGGTCGTACTGGTGCGCGAGTGTCGCTGGTAGAGCACCGCCCCAGCAAACGACGCTCCCCTACGAGCTCAGCTCGCTCGTCATGGTTCACCCGCGGCGTGCCGCGGTCCCCTGGTTCTACCTGCCGGCACCACGCCAATCTGCACGGACGATTTTTCAGAGAAGGATCGATGCGGTAGCTGCTGCCCACTCGGCCTCGAAAAGATGTGCCTCCAACTTCTCTCGGTCGGCGGACGTCTCTCATCCACGTCTTGTCTTTTTCGAGCGGCGAGTCGTTCAAACATTCACACTTCCGCAAGGACGTCTTACCACTGCTCTCGTGGCTAAGCTTGGCCGACTTAGCAGCGGGCATCACTTGGTCACGGGCAGAGGTACACAACCTGGTTACATGCGGCAGCTCCAACGAGCGCGGACGTGATGGGCACATCGGGCGACACTGCTGCAGTTTTTCTCGACACCTGCGGGGTTGTGCAGCTGACAGCAACCATTTTTGGGTTGGCGCTACACGTATCGGCATCAGTCTCTCGGCTCCCACCGGCTAGTGCGGCTTCACCGACGGATTCCGCGTAGTCGGCAACGCGATCACGCGGCTCGTCTAAGGCGTATCTCTGAGCAACATCATTTCCAGCACAACTCGGCTCACGCTCCCCCTTTGGGTGCTTCAACTACAAGTGTGCATCGACGAATGTATTCTCATCGAGCTCGCGTCAAGCAACATATGCTCGTAACACTGGAACCAAAACGTCGTCAACGAGATGGCGACCATCCATGATCCGTCACGTTTTCTGGGCCAGCGACCTCATTCGGAACCTCGAGTTTGGTGTCGTCTCTTTGCTCACCGGAAAAATTGGCGCGCGCCCATGCGTGTTCACGCTCACAGCCGATCCGCACCGCGTTTTGTGGAGCACGGAACTTTGCCCGCGCACGGCCGCTCACCAAGACCAACACAGCTTTCTACTGGGCGCTCGCTTATTTTGGCCTCGTGCAGGCTCCAGTTCTCCGCCCGAGCTGACCTCGACGTACTGGACGCGACTTTTTCGGTGGCGCACTTCGAGCACGTCCCACGTACGTCGTTGGCAACTCCTCCCGGTCATCTACACGCTAAAGATGGACGCCGCCGCTGTCGGCATCGCCATCATTGACCATTGGCACGGTTTATTCGACTTGCTGACGTGGAAGAGGAAGCTAGCAAGGCAACGGCGATGCAAGCTGATGTCGACACATCCATGAACACCCGCGAACGCTTGGGTGTTGATCTCACGGCGTGAGAGTGGAGAAAAGAATTGCGGGACCCTTCAGCACCTCAACCGTCAACATCGAGGTGCTGGCCATCAACACCACTGCACTCGCGTGGCAACTTGACGTTCTCTGCGGCATTGTCCAGTGGTGTATGGTATCAACATCGCGTCACTTCGGCGGCGCAAGCAGTGCACTGGCTCCGGGTCTCGACACGTCACAGTCCGGGACGTAGCAACTCGCTCCTAGACACAGCCGTCGCCACGACATACGTCAACATGAAAGACCCACACGGCTTCGTGGGCAGACACACCGAATACAGCACGCCTGCGCTGAAAGTACCGAGCACTCGACAAAACGCGCAGCAGCCTTGGCTGTTATCTTGGTCAAGATACGAGCAGCGGTCAGCATACATACACGTCTGGCGCGAATGGACAACCTTCCTGGAGCTCGGCGCGGCCCTGCGCACCTTCGCAAGTGAGCTCACTCAGCGGTCCATCACAACAACCAAGCAGCGCCGTTATTTGACGGAGCTTGTCCAGATCCCGCGTCCACATCTTGAAGCCCTGCGTCGGAAAAGAAGGACGCGCACGCGCTGCGGATGGAACGCGATCGTCTCCTTGCGCTTGCCGAAATAGTCACTGCACTGCGCCTTACACTGCTCGCCGAAGGTCGCCGCGTAGCGCTCGACTAGAGAAGAAGCTCGATCTTTTGCTCGGTTGTCACCTTTTCTTTGCGCTCGACCGAGATGGCTCCTTCCCGATCTCCAACCGCATCTCGAGGTCAATATTCTCCATCCCGAGCTTTGCCATCGGATCTCGTTGCTGGATGTGCACGCGTTGTCACCGGCAGAAGCGGCCAATCTCATTCGCTGAGGTGCGAGCATGCCTCGACCCTCATCATGCCAAGCTCCTGAGTCATATGCATTCGAAATCGACGACGCAAAGTCTCTTGACGTCAAGGATCAAACAAACGCTCAAGCACCAAGAAGACATCAAGCCATCAACCACACCACAACAACATCTCGCACAGTACCAACAGCATCGCGCGAGATCAGGAATGTAGCTGCGGCGTGCCAAAAAGACCCAAGCAACTACTCGACGCACGAGCTCCGCAACGGCGGTGCTGCGGCCTTATGTCGTGGCAGCATGCCAGACCTCGCCCTCCCGGCAAGAAGTCACCAGACGCACTCACGAAACACACCAGCATCAACGAACAACCTCTCACCGACCTCACAACTCGATTGGCCCCAACCGCATGGCGTCATCTCTGGGGGACCGCCTCGCCCACCTCTGGCATGGCGGACACCAACACGGTTGTTGGCCCCGAGTAGCTCGGTCTTGATTGAGGAATTTCCCGAACAATCGGCATCCATTTGTTGCGAGATGTGCCGAATATAATACTGTTTGAATTCGGCATATGCCGGATGCGTGCAGTTTGTGGCATCGCGCAGATTGCGGTGACGAAGGCAAGATGGAAAAGAGCGTCAAGAGCAAGGGAGGTATCGACGTGTCGGCCGCCGACGAGCGCGACTACCGCCACATCGAGCTTCCAAACGGTCTCTGCGCGCTGCTAGTCTCGGACAAGGATGCCGAAAAGTCGGCTGCGGCCATGGATGTACGCGTCGGCCATCAGAGCGACCCGGACGACCTCTTGGGCCTCGCGCATTTTCTCGAGCACATGCTCTTTATGGGCACGGAGAAGTACCCGGACGAGAACTCGTACTCCCAGTTTCTGAGCTCGCACGGTGGCAGCTCGAATGCGTACACGAGTGGCACAGACACCAACTACTACTTTGACGTGCGGCCTACGTACTTCCACGAAGCTCTCGACCGCTTTGCGCAGTTCTTCATCTCCCCACTCTTCACGCCTGGCGCCACAGAGCGCGAGATGAACGCGGTCAACTCGGAGAACAACAAGAACCTCCAAAACGATGCTTGGCGTCTTGATCAGGTCGTCAAGCACACGAGCAACTCAAAGCACCCGTACCACAAGTTTGGGACCGGCAACCTTGTGACGCTTGGTACGCGCGCGAAGGAAGATGTCCGCGCTGAGCTTATGGCGTTCCACGCAACGTTCTACTCGGCACGCATCATGAAGCTCGCAGTTGTCGCAAAGGAAGACCTCGACACTCTCGAAGGCTGGGTGCGCGCGCTCTTTAGCCCTATCGCGGACACGGGCTCCAAGACGTTCAAGTACGACGGCGTACCATTCGAGACGCCTCAGCTTCAGCGCCGTCTGCGCGTGATGCCCGTCAAGGACCTGCGCACGATCGAGGTCGCTTGGCCGTTGCCGCCCATGCGCCATGCGTACTTGGAGAAACCGACGAGCATTCTCTCGCACCTTCTTGGTCACGAAGGCCCAGGCTCGCTTCTGTCGTACCTCAAAGGCCAGAAGTGGGTCAACGAGCTCTCGGCGGGACTCATGAAGGACCACGACGACTGGTCGCTTTTCTGCGTCGAGGTCGAGGCAACAGACGTAGGCATTGTGCACACTGACGACATTGTGTTTGCAATCTACCAGTACCTCGCATTGCTGACGTCGTCGCCGATCGAGCGCTGGGTCTTTGACGAGGCCAAGAACATTGCCCTCATGAACTTTCGATTCCGGAGCAAGGAGACGCCGATGCACTACGCAACTTCACTCGCAACCAAGATGCAGACCCTACCGGTTCAGCACATTGTCGCGGGGAGCTATCTCTTGTACGACTTCAATCCGACCAAGGTGCATGACGTTCTTCGCCTTCTCACGCCTGCGCAAATGCGCCTTACGGTCGTGAGCAAGACATTTGCCAACTCGACGTCGCTTGTGGAGCCGTGGTACGAAACGCACTACAGCAATGACGCGCTGGAACCGACGCTCGTGCGTCGCTGGTCTGCACCGACGCCCAACGCGGCGTTTGTGCTTCCGCACCCGAACGCGTTCATCCCAAAGAACTTTGACCTGGTCTCGACGCCGACGCCATCGCTGACGCCGGTCCTCTTGCGCGACGATGCGCTCGGGCGTCTCTGGGTCAAGACGGACACGACGTTCCTCAAGCCGAAACTCAACATTTGCATGACGCTGCAGTCGCCGATGATTTACGTGTCACCTACTACCGCTGTTCTCACCGACATGTTTGTGCGTGCCGTCAAAGACAAGCTGACGGAGATCACGTACGACGCCGAGCTTGCGGGCATGCGCTACTCGATGTCGTTCAGCTCCAAGGCGTTGGAGCTGTACGGCGGCGGCTACAGCGACAAACTCCCGGCGCTCTTGACAGCCATCGTGCAGACAATGACGAGCCTCGAAATTGACGACGAGACGTTTACGCGTATCCATGACAAGACGAAGCGCAGTTACGATAACTTTGAGCGCGAAGACCCGTACAAGCACGCGCTCTACTTCAGCACGTGTGTGCTCGAGGCAACGAAGTGGACGGTCGCGGAGAAGGCCGCGGCCATCGCCCACGTGACCATGGCCGATTTGCGCCATCACGCGGCGACACTCTTCCGCCAAGCGTATGTCGAAAGCTACTTCCACGGCAACGTCGACGCCACGTCCGCGGTCGCTTGGCTCGACGCAATCCTTGCGCCAATGCATTCTCGCCCGCTCGTATCGGCGCAGCGCCAAAAGATCCGCGCTGTGCAACTTTGCCGCGGCCATGACGCCGTCTTTGCTGTTCCGGAGCTAAATCCGGAGAGCGTCAACTCGGGCGTACACACCATGTTCCAGCTCGGGCTCGAGTCGACGCGTCTCCGCGCGCTGAACGAGGTCTTTGCGCAGCTAGCGAAAGAGCCGTGCTTCAACCAGCTGCGCACGATCGAGCAGCTCGGCTACATCGTGTTCTCGAGTACCCACCGCGCGCACGGTGTCGAGTACTACCGGCTCATCGTACAGTCCGACGTCGCGCCGCCCGCGTACGTTGAAGCCAGCATTGACGCCTTCTTGTTGTCGATGCACGCTGCTATTCTAAACCTTTCGGCGACCGAGTTTGTAAAAAACTTGAACGCAGTCGTCGACACGCTTCTTGAAAAGCCCAAGACCGCGTCCGAAGAGTGCTCTCGCTTCTGGGAAGAAATCTCTGCCGAGACTTACAGCTTCTCGCGCCGCGCCGATGTGGCGGCGGCAGTCAAGACGCTCACCGTCGCCGACGTCGTCGCCTTCTTGGACGAATACATCCTTGGCGAGCTTCGCGTCAAGTTTAGCGTACACATGCTTGGGAAGCATCATGCCGTTGAGCTGCCTGCTGCGACGACGGCACCACTGTTTGCTGCGACCGACCTTACAGCCACTGTTGCGTCTCTCGTGCTTGACCAGTCCTTGACCCCAGGGCGCCGTTCGCATGTGATCCGCGACATCAACCGCTTCAAGCACGCCCTTCCTCTCTTCCCGGAGCGCCCGTCAACGCACATTTCCGTGCATGTCGTCTCGGAACCTTGAAGCCACTCGCAGACGTAAACGACTCGCAGGATACATACAATACTCTTCCGTCTCGATTACATGTCGCCTTGGTTTTCTTTCCGCTTACTTCAACGCCGCGTACATCACCTTGATGTCAGCCTCGAAGCGGGCCTTGAGCTGCGGACGCTTGAGCTTGAAAGTTGGCGTAATGAGCCCGTTCTCGACGCTAAAGATTTCGGCGTGGAGCATAACGTCTTTGACGCATTCGAAGCCGTTGAGCTTGCCCTCCTTGGCCACGTCAGCCATCGACGCAAGCACAGCAGCCTTGAGGTCCGGTCGCTTGACCATCGCGTCGAGGTTGGTGCCGTCGCTGATGCCTTTAGACGCCGCCCAGGCTTGGACCGCTTCTGGGTCTGGCACGATAATGGCCACGACGCAGCTCTGGAGTGAGTCGCCGTAGAGAAAGATTTGACCCACAAATGGCGACTTGGCGTAGATGTTTTCGATCTTCTCAGCCGCAATGTACTCGCCCTGCGCGAGCTTGAAGATGTTCTTCTTGCGGTCGATAAGGCTCAGCGTCCCATCGGCGTTCCAGCAGCCAATGTCGCCCGTCGCGAACCAGCCGTCGTCCGTCAGGCACTCGGCCGTCTTCTCCTGGTCCTTGTAGTACCCCGTAAAGAGGTTCGGGCCGCGGACCCAAACCTCACCGCGAGGGCGCGGCTTGTCGGCACTCGTGTAGTTCATCTCGGGCACGTCGGCGAGGCGAATCTGAAGGTTGGGCAGTGGCATGCCCACGTGAGCGCCCGTCGGGATCTCGGGAATCGAGAGCGTCAGCGCGGCCGTCGTCTCCGTGAGGCCGTAACCTTCTTCGACGCGGCAAGAGAAAGCGATCTTGAGGAACTCTTTGACGTTGGCCGCCAAAGGTGCCGAGCCAGAGACGATGAGCTTCACGCGACCACCGAGGACAGCGCGAATTTTCTCAAACACAAGCGTGTCCCAGAGCGCGTGCGTGTTGGAGCCCGCGGCAAGCCCTTGGCGCTTTGACTCGTATGCGTAGTCAAAGAGCATCTTCTTGAAGCCACCAGAGGCGTTCACGCCTTGGATGATCTTGTCGTAGACGCGATTGAAGAGGCGCGGCACCGACACGAAGAGCGCTGGCTTGAGCTCCGCCATGTCGTCCATGAGATGGAGGACATCTCCTTGGTAGAAACCGATAGATGCACCGGCGCGCGTGACAGTTGCCTATCAGAAAATGAGCACGATGATGTGTGTTGCGAGATGCGGCTCACCAAGACGACGCGCTCAAACACATGAGGCAGAGGAAGGTACGACAAGTGCGTGAACGACGGGTCCGCCGACAAGCGGTGAAGCATGGACATGGCCGTCGTTGCAAAGTTTCGCTGCGTCAGAATCGCACCCTTCGGGTCGCCCGTTGTCCCCGAGGTATAGCACACCGTGGCAATTTCGTGCGCCTTGGCGGGTTCTTCCGCAACTAAAGACATGGGTAAGCGAGGGTCACTGTACTAGACCGCGACGTACTTGTAGCATCCGGCACCGACTCGAGCTCGCTCAACGTGAGGAGCTGCACACCCAGGCCTTCAGCCTCGGCCCGCTGACGGCTGCTGATCTGCAGTCAGAGACACAATGAATGGCAAGAAAGCATAGGAGTCACAAGTGCGACGACAACGTACGGAAGCATCCAGGCTGACAATGTAGTCGAGAGACGGGCACTGCCCCTTGACCGCAAGCACGTTCGAGACGAGATCACCGGAGCACATCATGACACGCATTGTGGTGTGGTTGACAATGAACGGGATGACGTCCGGACCAAGCGTATCGTACAGCGGAACAAGCACAAAGTTGTTGCGGTTGCAAGCCATTTCCGTCAAGACCCACTCGGCCCGGTTCTTGGAGAAGATACCGAGCATGTCTTGGCGGGCAAGCTTCAAGTGGTTGCGCAAGCCCGTCGCGATGCGCGCGGCGCGGTCGTGGGACTCTTGATAGGAGACCCACGTGTATGGGCCGGCCTTGCCATTGGCGTCGCGCGACCGCGTGCCGAGGTACGGTGAGTTGGGCGACTGCGCCATGCCCACCTTGAAGTTCGCCCAGAGGTTCGCGATCTCGTCCGGCACGGGGAAGCTGTCAGCGCTGACGCGGATGCCGCCAAAGCCGGGCTGGACCGTCCCGGGGATCTCGTGCGAGAAGACGCGGCTCGGCACAGATTCGGCGCCGCCCATGACACGTGCAATCGAAAAATGCTCAGCATCGCACACGTCACGCATTCAATTCGCTTGGTACGTAAGCATACAAAGCACAAGTCAATATTAAATTATTTGGCTTGAACCCCATCCTGCTCGTGGCGATCGCATTTTATTTGCAAGTCGATACAAACATGCATATAAAATTGAGTTGTGGTATTTAATGCTAAGGATACCGCTGCGATCTTATTGGGCAAAGGCTGTTGATGGCGCTGTTTCGTAAGCAGTTGGGGTTGAAGTTGGCCGACTGACCACGGCGCCTTCCAGTCGCTTGGCGGTAGATTGCGCTGGCGGCGACGACGCTCGAGGCATGATTCAAGACTATCGAAATAGTGCATCTTGCTCTAAAGCACGGCGAAATCGAATTGAGCGCGCATTGGACAGCTGAAGAAATCGCGTCGATTGCATCATCCCCCGTCCAAGCGAGATGTTCCTGCGATCTGGTCGGACAACCTCTCCGGAGAATGGTCAGCGTTGTCGGCGACTGCGCCAACCATGTACTTTAGCACTAACGGTAGCTGATAAATGCAAAATGTTGTCGATTCCAGTGGCACAGGAATGGAATCTGACGATGGACCAGTGGGTGGATACGAAAAATGTGTGGCTACAATGACCCACCCAAGTCGCGGATCGTGTTGAGGACTCGGATGATGATGCTGCCACAGCAAACTTCAACATGATTGCATTAGCACTTGTGTAGCGTGACAGCAAGTCCATTCGAACGAGATGCCATTGTGTTGTTGTTGGCACAATGTCCAAGCTGGACACCAGCCGCCATAATGCCTCCGCTCGCTTCGCTCGATTAACATAAGGACGGCACGGTGGAGAGCTCCGTCGTTGCATTTACACGTTCAAGCATGTCAAAAGTCGTTCGAGATCGGATGACGCGTGCTCCACGGTGACGCGCTCTCGCCACAGCTCTTTGTCCTCGCACTCGGACCGATAGGTACTGCTCTGGTCGCAAGGTCACCTGGGAGTCACGATCAATGTGTCATCAGCTGCTTTGCAGATACGCAGCTCGTCGCCCTTGACGCGCCGTCTTTGGCCTGCCAACTCGATTTCGTCGACACATATTGTTTTTATTCAGGCTTCAAGCAGATGCGGCACACCAACAATGGG